TGTTTTTGTGTCACTTGTTTGATGTAGGATTAAAACAATTTCTTTGTAAATAATAATTATAAAACCCATTATATCAAAATTCAATGTTTTTCTTGTAGATATTTGTTTCAGCTAAATGCACATAAGCTAATTATCACATAAAGACCATCAAAACGAGGACAATATGACACATCACATTACCTTCTATAAACTGTCAACAGTTGGCAACAATACTGGTATAGTACATTATAAATTTAATGAACACTATTTTCCAGGTCAACTAATCTGTATCTATTATGACATCAGGTCAAAATGAACACAGGTACCTGAACACATTTTTAAACAAGCTGTAACGTTTTATAAAACCTTTGTGATGTATTAGGACCATGATATATAATTATATAGTCAAAACGTTCTATTTAAATTAGCTGAGTATGTTACCCTTTTCATTTTTAAGGTTAGGAAGGGCAAAGCCCAAACAAAATCCAACAAGACTTCAGGAAAATGTCAAAGCTTTGTGCATGGCTGTATGGGTTAATTAGCTGTAACAGATTCTCTAGCTATGGCCTAAGACACTGTAAGAATATCAGAAGTACGCCTGATACATATTTAATTGCAGGCGTTCTCAAAAGCACACAGGAAATGTTACACCTAATACCAAGATTTTATGCATCAGCTGTAAAAGATATTCTATGCAAACTGACCGTAGTGTTTGTATGTGACAGGCTCTCCAGATAATTACAATATTTTAAATATTGGTTCAATAGTGTGCAACTGAATTTTCATGGCAGGAGAATTTTTTTCTTTGCTTTTTTTATATTTATTTTCAGAGATACAGCAATAAATCTATATACATCAGTTTCTGAACGCCAGCAGTATGATAAAATCCTCTTATGCTATACCTCTCTATACTATTTTACTTTCTATGTACATACAGTATATTCCAACTCCAAGTTACAGATTTTGATTTCTACAAGAAGGCTACACTGTCAATCAAGTTAAAGTATATGTAAACCCTCACCTTGTAAAACGAACCATTCAGATTAAAACAGAAATGAAAGGTAGAGAATTTGTGTATACATATTAAAAAAAAAAAAACACACACACACACACGATAAATGTTTCCCCTTTACAAATAAGTGATCACATTCCTTCTGTTCTCAGTTGCATAAGGGCTTTCCAATGAATGGCTGCAGAGGGGGCAGTACAATCCTGATCACTGGTTTGGTCCCAGCACAGCCAGAACACTGACCACGCAGTGCTCTCATGCTTAGTGTGGTCAGTTTTTAATAGGAAAGCAAAGGGACTGGCAAGAACACCAGGGGTTTCAAAAAAAAGGAAGCAATACAAAGAGAACAGGATACTTTTTAATATAAGTATATAGTACAGCAGGCACAAATCAGGAATATGAATTGTTGGGTGTACTTCAAGGCTCTTCAAGGCTGAGCAAAGCCCGCCTGAGACAGCTCTTACCTGGAAGTGATGGTGATTGGTCAGTTCCCTGTCATCCTTGTTTAAAGCGCCTGTTGCATACCACCAGTGCTCCTGGTAGCAGATGCTACCTGGTGTGCTCTTGCTTGACCCAGCCTATTTTTGCTTCATGGATTACCCTGTATGACCCAGCTTGCTCTGACCCTGCTCTCCCCACTGTGATTCTGTACCTTTTTGGACTCCTTTGGACTTGATCTACTTGTGTATGACTCAGCTCATCTAGACCATGCTTCTGCATGACCCTCCTGTGTTACCAGATGCTCTGCTACTTCTTGGCCTGCTCTGACCAGCTCCATCTACACACCAGTCCTTACTGTCCTGCTGACATATGTGGTGGTTCATTACAAGTTCCATCCAGCCTGCTCTGCATATGGCCCTGTGGTATGTGCTATTATTGAACTGTCTGCATATGTAACACTTCTAACTGTTTTAATGTCATCTATATTTCTGACATTTTGACAAGCCATACAGTTAAAGGGAAAGATGACCTAATGGTTATAAACATCATCGGGGCATAGATGCACATTACCCTACATGCCATACAGTATATAAACCCAACAGAAGGGTGGACCACATCTTTCTATTTAAATTTCGTATGATGAAAAAAAAAATCCCTAGTATTCCAAATTAAATAACTACCATTGAATTAAACCATATCGGAGTCCTTTCACCACCAGAGAAAAATAAAAATAAATAATGAAAATCAAAAATGAATAGGTCAGCTCTCCTTTAAAAAATGATCACCCAAGAGTGTAATGCTATATATATATATATATAATATATATATATACACACACACATACACAGTATATACACACACAGTATTTGTATATATTATCTACACAGAATTAACAAGAAAAAAAAAAAAAACGTTTATTTCTAATACACTCATGGGCTCACTACATTAGAAAAGCATACTATCAGCTTTCGCAATGCTATTTTGTGTCAACTCATACAGCACACAGCCATGTTATATACAGGTCTACAGTTATATATGTTTCCTTTGGCCAAATGGTACATCTTCTGCTTTACATATACTGTATGTATCCACTTTTTGCTTCTAAATATGAGTTTCATTCTGCTGTAACTGAACTTTGAACTTATAAATGCGATTCCGGATCATTCAGAAATTGGAGACTTCTACATGCTACCCAAAGTCCACAAGCCAGGAAATCCAGACAGACCCATCATAACAGGTATGAATACACTCACCGAACAAATCTCAGGCTTTGTAGAAAAAAAAAATGTTAAAACCGTTAGTTGTGTCTTGCAGGAAACTAGCAGTATTCTTGACTGACTTTCTGAACAAGATCAACAACATACAGCAATTACCATCTAATACACTTCTAGTGACTATGGATGTAGTATCCCTGTATAGTAATATCCCTCACAAGGATGGATTAGCTGCATGTCACAGATCCTTATCATCACCAAACCATAAATACACTGCTAAGGATGTTACACAGCTCATTGAATTCATACTTACACACAACTACTTTGCCTTCAACAAAGACATCTATCTTCAATGTATGGGTACTGCGATGGGAAGTAAAATGGCACCCCAATATGCCAATTTATTTATGGCTGACCTGGAGGAAAAATTCCTGAACAGCATGGAACAAAAACCATACAGATACTATCGCTATATTGATGATATTTTCATCATATGGACAAAAGGTGAGGAATACCTAAAACAATTTTACTCATTGATCAACACTTTTCATCCATCAAACTAAAAATGGAATACTCAAAACACACACACATCAACTTCTTAGACACCACAGTATACATCAGGGATGATAAGCTTCACATCTCAATATACAGGAAACCCACTGACAGATGCAACTACTTCCACAGTTCCAGCTTCCACCCCCAACACACGAAACGTGCCATCATACACAATCAGGCCATTAGATACCACCGAATATGTTCTGACCCAAGAGACAGAGATACACATCTTGGGACACTAGCAGACTCCTTCCATAAGAAAGGTTACAAGGACAAAACTATCAACACCAGCATAAACACAGCCTTGAGAACCCGAAGGAAAACTCTACTTCAGTACAAAGAAAAAAAAAAAAAAACAAACAAAAAAAACACCACAAACAACCGTGCACCTCTAGTAACCACATACAACCCAGCACTAGAAGGGATAAGAAAAATAATCAAAGATTTACAACCCATCATAACAGAGGATGGAACTCTGAAAGAAATATTCCAGCAACCCCCAATACTAGCTTTCAGACAACCCCCCAACCTCAGAAATAAACTAATCAGTAGCAAAATTCCTTGTGATTATGTCACAAATAATGGAAGCAAACCCTGCAATAAAAAACGCTGCAAACTGTGCAACCAAATCAATCCATCAAAAAGTGTCAGACACTCAAAAGAGATCTTCAATATCTCCGGATCATACAGCTGCACCTCCAATAATGTGGTGTACCTTATCCAGTGCAGAAAGTGTAGCAAAAGGATTTTATGTTGGCGAAACAGGACAAAAGTTGCAAACAAGGATGAATTTGCACAGACATACCATCAAGGAACATAAAGAAGATGACTTTTGCACACCTGTGGGACACCATTTCGCAGAACCAGACCACATTATGGAAGACCTCAATGTTTTAGTTCTTAAAGGAAATTTCAAATCCATTCAGGAAAGAAAAACTTTTCAACTAAGAATGAAAATTCTATTTGACACAAGAGATAAGGGCCTTAATTTGAACATGGGATTCCTCAATCATTATCCAACATTTTTATGACTCCCTCTGTGAGTGTTGTTCTCCCCCCCCAGTCTTTGCTTTTGCTTTGCTGTGTCTTATCTCTAGGCTAACCCTAGGCTTGTGTTTCTTTCTGCCTTTTTTTTCTCATCCCCCACATCTCTTCTAACATTCTGCTAAAATTTTGTAATACTACTGGTTGGACCTTGAAGAAGGGACACACACCCCGAAAGCTTGTCCTCAAAATTGTATGTTAGTGCAAATAAAAAAAGTATCACGTCAGTACTCAATTGTTTCATTCTGCTGTAAAGTAATGTGTATTTAGTCATATCTTTCTCTTCACTTTGCCATTTGAATTGTATGGGCTCCTTGTGGTTTATGTTTAAAGTGTTTTGTAAAGGTTCAGATTTTGTTTTTTAAAAATTAACATGTCATTTTTACTTGCTCTCTGCAATGGTTCTGCACAGAGCAGCCCCAATCCTCCTCTTCTCAGGTCTCCGGCCAATGCTTCCTAGCCCCCTTCCCCTTGCTCAGTGCATGCTGCTTGCTCTGGGGGCTCCCATGTTGCTTTTTTCCCTGTAGGAAACCTGCTTTAAATCAAGTATTCCATGTATATTTATGATGTGCTATATCATGGTATGTTTTAACAGTTATTTAAAAACATACAGAATATTATGACTAGAGATGAGCGAAGTATTCAAAAATTCGATTCGGCTGATTCGGCGAATTCGAGGAATAAATTCGATTCGATGCGAATATATTCGCTGCGAATTTAACTTTATAAAAAGGGTGTTTCTAGGCTTCAGAGAGCCTTTATATTAGTGCAGAACACTGTACCCTTAATTTAAATGCCCTTGGAGTCTGCTGGGGAAGAGAAATAATATTGTCAGTCAGTATGACATGCAGATGAGTGCCGTCGATCTTAGAATCACCGCACACTTCACTCATTTGGGCAGTCACGGGGCCAAAACCAGAGTGTGGAGCCACAGTGTGGCGGTGGAGGCAGCAGCAATGGGAGGCCATACAGCACCCTATGACAAAATGGAACCCACCAGCAGTGTGAGGAGACCTGAAAGTGGCACATGGCAGAGTGTGGCGATGGAGACAGCAGCAATGGGAGGCCGTACAAGGACCCATGAGACACTCTGGACCTGGCAGCAGCATGAGGAGGCGGTACAGGGGCCCATGACAGATTACGGGCCTGGCAGCAGCATGAGGGGTCGGTACGGGGGCCCATGGCAGATTACGGACCTGGCAGCAGCAATGGGAGGCCCGTAATCTGCCAACACCCTAAGACAAAATGGAACCCACCAGCAGTGTGAGGAGACCTGAAAGTGGCACATGGCAGAGTGTGGCGATGGAGAAAGCAGCAATGGGAGGCCGTACAGGGACCCATGACACACTCTGGACCTGGCAGCAGCATGAGGAGGCAGTACGGGGGCAAATGGCAGATTACGGGCCTGGCAGCAGCAATGGGAGGCCCGTAATCTGCCAGCACCCTATGACAAAATGGAACCCACCAGCAGTGTGAGGAGACCTGAAAGTGGCACATGGCAGAGTGTGGCGATGGAGACAGCAGCAATGGGAGGCCGTAAAGGGACCCATGATACACTCTGGACCTGGCAGCAGCATGAGGAGGCGGTACGGGGGCCCATGGCAGATTACGGGCCTGGCAGCAGCAATGGGAGGCCCGTAATCTGCCAGCACCCTATGACAAAATGGAACCTACCAGCAGTGTGAGGAGACCTGAAAGTGGCACATGGCAGAGTGTGGCGATGGAGACAGCAGCAATGGGAGGCCGTACAGGGACCCATGAGAGACTCTGGACCTGGCAGCAGCAGCAGGAGGCGGTACAGGGGCCCATGACAGATTACGGGCCTGGCAGCAGCATGAGGAGTCGGTACAGGGGCCCATGGCAGATTACAGGCCTGGCAGCAGCAATGGGAGGCCCGTAATCTGCCAGCACCCTATGACAAAAATGGAACCCACCAGCAGTGTGTGAGGAGACCTGAAAGTGGCACATGGCAGAGTGTGGCGATGGAGACAGCAGCAATGGGAGGCCGTACAGGGACCCATGAGACACTCTGGACCTGGCAGCAGCATGAGGAGGCGGTACAGGGGCCCATGGCAGATTACGGGCCTGGCAGCAGCAATGGGAGGCCCGTAATCTGCCAGCACCCTATGACAAAATGGAACCCACCAGCAGTGTGAGGAGACCTGAAAGTGGCACATGGCAGAGTGTGGCGATGGAGACAGCAGCAATGGGAGGCCGTACAGGGACCCATGACACACTCTGGACCTGGCAGCAGCAAGAGGAGGCGGTATAGGGGCCCATGGCAGAGTGGCAAAGCGAAAGCAGTTAAATTGAAGGCCATACAGAGGCACATGTTAAAAATAAAGTGCGCATGTTTGGGGTATGATTCATGGCGGATTTAGTCAGTTGTGTCAGGAACTGGTGGTTTGAAATCCAGATTAATCCACGCCTGATTCATTTTCACAAACGTGAGTCTCTCCACACTTTGGGTGGACAGTCGTGTCCTCCGCGGAGTTACAATACCTCCTGCCGCACTAAACACGCGCTCTGATGCCACGCTACTGGCCGGGCATGACAGCCTTTCAAGGGCAAATTCAGCTAGTTGGGGCCAAAGGTCAAGTTTCGTTGCCCAGTAGTCAAGGGGATTGTCTACCTCGGTTGGCAGGGTGCTGTCCAAGTAGGCCCAAGCCTGTTGTTTGAGGTCCTGCTCCAGGTCCACCTGATGCTGCTGCTGCTGCGGGCTGGTTATAGTTTCCTCACTGCGCTGGTGAAGAAAGCTACTCATCATCGACTGCAGACTGAGGCAGCCGCTGCTGGTGGAGCTGCCACTGCTCCTACCACCCCACCCCTCCCCTGCTGCCATGGCAACGGAACGCGAGCGCACAGGGCCCACAGTGTCTGAGGATGGACGTTGGCGCAGAAAGGCAGAGACCAACTGACTACATAGGTGGTTTTTATAGTACGTTATTTTG